TGTTTCCACAATGGTCCTTTGGTAGTGATGTGAGTTTTCTTCTAGATTCTTGATATTTATACCGGTTAGTGTTGGTTTTGTGATTAATTTTATTCTTTCTAGTTTCAGATCTAGAACAATGTTTACTCTGATTAGTCTATGGTCGCTGCCTGAAATTTATTTATTACACTGATATTCTTTTACTGTAGCAATATTTTGTTGTTAGTTAGAATAAAGTCAATTTCGTTCTTACTGGTTCCATTTGGTGCTACCCAAGTACATTTTTTGTTTGATTTTTTTAAAGAATGTAAATATTTACAATAGACATGTTTTGGTAGTCTGCAAACTGAACCAGTCGTTCTCCCCTTTCATTTGTCTCTTATGTTCAGTGATATTATTGACTTTTCAATAGAGGAATTTAAATGTTATGAACAAGATAAAACCTAACAGAATTGAAAAATTAAGTATTACTTTAAAATTTTTATAAGTAAAGAAATAATATTTCTCTTGTATCCATGTGATGATTTATTTACGAGAATAATATTATTGCAACATTCCCCAAATTAAATAAAATTCTGAAAATTTAACTAACTATTAAATATTTATTAATTATGACAAACTAATTGACAATTTAAAGAATTTTTACCAAAAGTGAGAAAAAAGGCGATAGATATAATTAATCGATCTAAGTATATTTGTTTCATCTTATTATTTGTTTTTATAAATTATGTTTATTTTAGCATTATATGCTTTGAAACCAAATTACCGAATGCAAAATATGTGTCATGACTGAAAAATATCCCTGGAAATTACAATGTTGCCTATGACTAGTTTTAGCCTTAGTCCTCCACTGTTACATAATGGAGAGATTTTAGTTTTAGTTAATAAATTACAAATTATTTCTTTGGTCTTAGTATTATATGTAATTTTTAAACTAAAACTAATGTTGTTTAGCGTTTAATAGTAATTCCGTGTGAATATTAGAATTATATTCTCATACGTTAAATTCGTATTCATTTGACTCTCGACCTGCAAACATCGCATCGATACAAATTAGGCGAAAGTTTACGGTGGTGATTAAAAATTACATTATCGTGTATCAAGTGGATATATTATTTATAAACTATTTACAAATTTAAAATATATAGTTTTAACAATTAAAATTAGTGCTCCACCAGATTTATCGGTGAGTGTTCTTTGTTATACTGCTACTGTTAATGGTCAACCTATAAATACTCAATATCAGCAACAGCAAATTCAACCAGAATGCCCAAATGTTCTTTTTCCACAAAACTCACAATCAAATTCAGCACAAATTTTAAACAATCCACCAACAACAATATATTATGTTCCTAACCAAGTACTATTACAATCTTCCTCAAACTGTCAATACAATCCTAAAATAAATCCCACATTATCTACACTTCAAAATGAAGATTATGATTATATTGAGATGACACATACATTACAAAGTAAATAATCTTTAGAGGAAATCAGCGACATTGAGTCATCAGACATTCACGAATGGCAAACTATACAACATAGTAACAAAAAACGTAAAATTAATCCTCCAAAACGAACAGAAAACGAGGACACGATAGTAACCAGCAATAAATTTCAGATTCTACAAAATGAAAACGAAAACGACAACAATAACGGTACAGAAAATACAAACAAATCTCCAGCAACCACTAAACCCCCACCAATTTGTATATATGGTGTTACTGAATACAATAAAATGGTTAATAACCTATCGGAAGTAACAAAAACAGAGACATTCTATTGTACTTCATTAAAAAAAACACAATAAAAATAAATTCCCGGGACTCTGAAACATACCAAAAACTAGTAAAACATTTAAACAGCAAAAAAATTGTGCATCATACGTACCAAATGAAAGACGATAGAGCATACAGAGTTGTAATTCGTAATCTACATCATACAGTGCCCATTATTATAATAAAAAGTGAAATAGAAAAACATGGGCATTTAGTACGCAATATTGTAAATATAAAACACAAAGTAAGTAAAGACCCTCTAATGATGTTCTACGTCGATATAGAACCTAATCAAAATAATAAAAAAATATATGAAATTCAATTTATAAACAACGCGAAAATAGTTATTGAGCCACCGTATAAAAAGAATAATATTGTCCAGTGTATAAGATGCCAATTGTATGCACACTCTAAGACATACCGTAATAGACCTTATCACTGTGTCAAATTTGGAGGCAACCATATGTCAGCCGATTGTAAAAAACCTAGGGACACACCTGCCATACGCGCTCTCTGCAATGGAGCACACACTGCAAATTACAAAGGATGAATAGTATATAAAGAGTTAATTAGCAGTAGAAACAGAGCAAGAGGATTATCATCGCACACTCCAGCGAACAATCAACTGCCATATAACAGAAATACAGTACAGAATAATCCGAACTTAAGCAATCAAAATCACACACAAACAACAGGTGAAACAAATGTAAATAATGTCCATAATAATACGAACTCATACAACCAAAATCATGCAACTTACGCTCAAGTAACAAGTGGTACACATGGAAGCAATACAAACAGTGACATTGGAGAGATGATGAAGAGTTTCCTTAATGAATTCAAAGCTATGTTTTCATAACTAATAAATCAAAATAGCGTGATCTTAAACATGCTTTCCACAGTAACAAATAAACTCAGTAATAGAACTTAAGTCACTACGAATTGCACAATGGAATGCCAACGGCCTAGGCAACCATAACAAAGAAGTTACTAACTTCCTTGAACATAACAAAATTGATGTTCTACTCATATGGCAGATTGCAGCGCATATGGCAAAGAAGTCGCAATCCTATAGACAAAAATGAATACAATAGATTAACACGATAACTTAAAACTGCTCTACAAGACGCGAGGAATGATACATTTGAACTATTCATCAACAGTCTGTCAAAAGAAGACCACAGCATCTGGAAAGCAATGAAATCATTCAAGAGGCCTACACAGCACATACCACCTCTAAGGAAACACGATGGAAGCTGGGGAAAAACTGAACAAGAAAAGGCATCAATGTTTGCTGCACATCTCTCACACGTTTTTAGTGCACCTGAAGTTAATAACCATAATAACGAAGAACAAGTAAAAATTTCTTAGACACTCCATGTCCAATGATGCTACCAATCAAATGCTTTACTCCCAATAATGTAAAAGAACAAATTTCTAGATGCAATAACTACAAAGCACTAGGCTTCGACATGATCATCGGGCTAATATTAAAAAAATTACCGAGAAAAGCAATTTTCATACTAACAATGATATAAAATAGTATTATAAGATTAGTCTACTATCCGATTAATTCTAAGTTCGCACATATAATTATGATAAGTAAACCAAATAAACCACCAAATACTATTATTTCATATAGACCAATCAGCTTACTTCCAATAACGAAGACATCGAAATTAATTCAGTTATCACAGACCACCAGTTTGGTTTCCTCGAAACTCATTCAACTCTACAACAGTGTCATAGGATTGTAGAAAACATTAATGTATGCCTCGAAGAGAAAAAAATTTGCACTGCTGCCTTCCTGGATATATAACAAGCCTTGGACCGTGTTTGGCATGACGGCCCCCTATATAAACTAAAGTCATCCTTTCCCACTCCTCACTATCTACTTTTAAAATCATACCTCACAGAACGTTACTTTCAACCCAGATTCCTTACAGAAACCTTTCATTACTATCCCATAAAATCCGGTGTCCCTCAAAGAAGTGTCCTGGTTTCCCTCCTGTATCTCATATACACTGCTGATATCCCAACAACAAATACGACCACAGTAGCCATGTTCGCAGATGACACCGCCATAATATCTATCGATGATGACCCCCAAGTAGCATCAGGAAACCTTCAAATACACCTGAACCTAGTACAAGACTGGATGAATAGATGGAAAATCAAAGTTAACCATAATAAGTCTAATCAAATTACATTCACCAATAGGAACATCATATGTCCGAGAATCAGACTAAACAATATACTACTACCAGTAAAAACAGAAGTCAAATACCTGGGAATGGCACTTGATCAAAAGCTCACTTGGAAAGCACATATCTTGGCAAAAAAATCCAAATCAACATGAAAATACGTCAAATGAATTGGTTAATAGGCCGAAAATCACAGTTATCAACAGGTAATAAACTTCTATTGTATAAGTGCATAATAAAGCCTATATGGACATATGGAGTGCAACTATGGGGCTGTGCAAAGCCTTCTAATACAAAATCATTTAGAGAATCCAATCCAAAATACTCAGAATGATTTTCAACGCGCCGTGGTACGTTAGTAACAAAACACTGCATGATGAATCTGGTATACCGTTCGTTGAAGACGAAATCAGCAGACTAACAAGAAATTATTTAGAACATCTGCCAACCCACCCCAACGAGGAAGCAAGACAACTACACCTCCAACCAGAAGTCAGACGAAGATTGAAGAGACAGTGGCCAACAGACTTTATACACTAATTTCAATTTTAATTTTAATTTTCATTTCAATTTTAGTTTCATATTATAATCCTACATTAATTTAATTTGTTAGTGTTAGTATTGGGAGTGTTATGAATGGATAATTTCTCCTTTCATGTATTTGCAATAATCACATTTACTAATAGCTTGTAATAGCAGATTGTAAATTTGCAAATTAAAAAAAAAATATGTTAAATTCTCGATTTATTCTTTAAGTACCATCTCTCCAGCAGAGGTCGGCAATCATCATAGCTATTCGCACTTTTAAGACGGTTGCTCTGAAAAGTTCATTTGATGTACAATTGATGTACATTCTCGATTTATGGGGTTCGCATATTCACCTATTTATACATTTGGTGGCCACAAAAAAAATCTCATGCTTTCTGCTTTAGGTTTCACATGCAACATGTCTATATGTTATATTAATTTTGTGTTCGACATATAAAAATGGTTTTTTATGTTTTTATCTTTGATAAATTTAAGTTTAAACGTTTTATAGGAAAATGTGGAAAAAGCAGTCGTTCCAGAAGCTTATCCTCAATTCTACATAGTCGTCTTTATGGTATGCGGCGTCCTTGGGGCCATGATTGTAGCAACTGCTATACTGATACTTATTAGAAGACACATCAAGTTGAAAGATAAACTACAAGGGCTATCGAAACCGGACACAGAAGCGAGTAAGGATTATCAGGATCTTTGTAGAGCAAGAATGGCAACCAAAGGTCAGCCGGCAACTGATACGGTTCATGGAAGAATTACATCATTATCTAAAGAATCAGAGCAGAGTCCTTCAAGTCGGTCAAGTACGTCATCCTGGAGCGAAGAACCAGCTTTGCATAATATGGATATATCAACAGGTACTAAATAATTATGATTATTAATTTGAAATGCTCAACTATGCTATCCGTATATTTAATATTGTAGCAAACAGTATTTATTATATATTGTGACTGAATGGATCAAGTAATCCAAAACCAACAAAAAAAATAGTATTCACTTATAATAATTTATATAGACTATGCAGGCCTAGTGTTATTATATAAACATATATATATATATATATATATATACATATATATATATATATATATATATATATATATATATATAAATAAATATATAATAATATATATAATAATATATAATATATAATAATATAAATATAATAATATAATATAAATATAATAATATAAATATATAATAATATATATATACATATATATATATATATAAATAAATATATATATATATATATATAAATATATATATATATATATATATATATATATATATATATATATATATATATATATATATATAATAACAAATTGATTACGGCTATCGCCTCTTCTCCGCCCCCAATTTCCATCTTTTTCTGTCATACGCAGTTGCCTCTTCTAAGTCTCTTGCCGCCATTGCTTCATCAATATCGTTGCGCAAACTTCTCCGTGGTCGTCCTCTCTTTCTTCTTTCAGGAGGGATCCATTCCAGTACTCTTTTAGGCCATCTGTATCCTGGCATTCTTTTAACATTTCTTATTTGTTCGTTTCTAACTCTTTCTAGTTTTGATCTACCGCAGCTTCGTCTCATATAATCCATTTCTGTCGTCATAAGTTTGTTTTTATTAGCTTTGGTGACGTCCCATACTTCCGAACCGTGTAATACTTTGGACTATACTACAGTAAATGTGTTTTTTGGTTTCTCGCCGAATTGTTTTTTGCCAGAGAAGAGAGTTTAAGGCACGGGTCGCTGCTATACCCTTGTTTATTCTTTCCCTGATTTCATCTGCGCTATTTCTCTTCTTATTGAAAATGACCCCCAAATATTTGCAGGATTGTACGCCTTTGATTTTGTTGTCTTCCAAGACTAGGTCGCATATTTCGTCTGTTTCCACTGATAGATATTCACATTTTGTCATATTCATGTTTAGACCTTCCACCTCATATTCTTCTTGCAGTTTTGTTACCATATAGCTAAGATCATAGCTATCTTCGGCAATTACTACCTGGTCATCCGCAAAGAAAAGTGTATATAGCGTGTTTTCTTCCACCGTTATTCCCATGTCTCTACATTTTTTTACCCATTTCACTAAGGATCTGTGCAAATAGATTTTAAATAAGGTGGGTGACAGACAGCAGCCTTGTCTTAGTCCCTTTGTTGTTTGAAAAGGAGAGGTGATTTCTTGTCCCATTTTAATTCTTGCAAAGTTTTGTTCGTCGTATTTTTGAGTGGCGTTAATAAGAATTGGGTTTATTTTCAAGTTATCCATTTCTATCCATAGTTGGGAGATCGGTACACTATTATATGCTTTTTCCAGGTCTAATAAAGCTATATGGGTTTCTCTATTTATCTGCACTCGTTTTTCCATTGCAATTTTTAATGTGAAAATATTATCCATAGTGGAGCGTCCGGCCCTAAATCCCACTTGTTCTTCGGGTTGTTTATCTTTAATATCATTTTCTATCAGGTTTCTCAGTACTTTTGAATATAATCGGCCTATAGTAGCAATCACTGCGATCCCTCTATAGTTTTTAGGATCCGTTTTTGTGCCTTTCTTGTGTATTGGAGAGATATACGATTGTCTCCATTCTTCTGGCACTTCTCCGTTTAAGCATCTTTCGAATAATTTTCGGATCATTTCAAGCAGTTTTGATGATCCATATCTAATCAACTATGGATGTATTCCGCCTGGGCCTGGAGATTTTTTTAATTTTATTCCCTTAACTGCTTCTTTCACTTGTTCTATTGATAGTTTTATTCTTCCTTCTACTTGCACTTGTTCATTTGTCTGTTTAAACCTTTCTCTTCTCTCTGGTAATAAGTTCTCAAAATGCTCTATCCATGTGTTCTCTGGTATTCTATCTATTATGACTTGGTTTTTTGTCGTTGTTCTCATCGTTTTTATAGTTCTTCAGGCTTCAGAGCTCTTTGTCCCTCCTATATGGTTGTCTAGGTATTGGCATTTTTGTTCCCATGCACTATTTTTCTTTTTAACGACTTCTCGTTTGACTTCTTTATTCAAGTTTTTATATTGTTGTTTTGTTTGTTCGTCTCCCTGTTGTAATAACTTTTGATATACTTCCTTCTTTTTTTTTTATCTTTTCTTCCACTTCTTTATCCTACCAATATGGTTTATCTACTCTCCGTACCTGTGACTCTAAGGCTTCTAGCGCTGCAACTTTCATGCAGTTTGTCCGTATTCATCCGTCGTTGATCTGTGTGATTCCTGTAGTTTTTGTGTTAGTCTCCAGGAGTATAGTAATTGTGTGCTCTCGTTATCTAGATTGTCTAAGGTGTACGTCGTTCATTCTATTTTTTCTCTGTGTTCTTTGTTGATGCCTGTGTGATTCCTGTCTACAAATGGTGTATATATTTTTCTTATTATCAAGCAGTGGTCCGAACCGCACTCTGCTCCTTTATTCACCTTTACGTCCTGTACTCTTAGCTTAGTTTGTTGCCTTGTTATGAAATAATCTATTATCGATTTTAGACCTCTTGTGTACTGAATATTATATTGAACATAATAATAATTATAAATCATTATTATAATCATCAACTACTCTATCCATCGTTTGATGTAAGCTTGTCTTAAAGTACGTCCAACATGAAGACTGGTAATAGCTGGTAGTCAGATCATCTGGAAGGCTCTTTGACTCCGTGCGGCAGGTAGGATATGGCCATTATGAACGCTGGTTTTCCGCGCCGACAGTTTAGAGCACTAGAACTCTCCAGTGTAGCATGAAAACAACAAGATAACAGGGTAAAGCTCTTTTACTGCTTATTAAATATGTTTTAACAGAGTTAAAACCAATCAGAAGGTAAACACATCCAATAATTAAGTACACATAAAAATCAACACTCATCGACTGTGGCGTCAGGTACCCGAAAACTGAATCGAAGGTTCATTCCGGTAAACGTCTGTGTCAGACTATCCGCGCACAGACTGTCAGTTCGCAGATGAATTTTGGCCAGGCACGCCTGAATACGAAGGATTATTCGCACACAGACTCTACGATGATAAGTAAAGGCTGTCAGATGTCTAAAACTAGCGTTTATATTGGAAGTACTCTTAACACTTTCGGATTATTTTTTTCAGCATTGGTATTGAATTTAGAACTTTTTTGTTTAAAACGTATAATTATGCAAACAATAAAGTAATTGAGATTAATTTTATCCTTGATGTTCGCTATTTTGTCCGAGACATATATGTCCCAGTCACACTTTATTGGTACATGTATATGGGACTATCCCAGACTAGATGAAAAGATGAAATAAAGAAAGGTAAACGTGTCCAAATTAAAGCCAACAAACTTATAATAGATGGTCTAGAAAGGAGATGGAATAGAAACACCAACCAGCTGGAGGACCATCATGGAGGTGGTTCAAAAAACTAGCAAGGGATGAGAGGATACATTATTCGTTGACGGACGAGGCAAAGAAACAGGAAATAACTGCAGATAAACCCGGGCACAACAAAAGTGAAATAAAGAAAAATGGACAAAAAAACAAAAATAAAGGACGAAGACAACAGAACAAAAAAAAATAAAGAGTTGAAAATAAGCACATGGAACATAAGAACTATGCTAACTCCAGGAAAAATGCTAGAAATAGGAAAGGAAAGTATAAAATAGATATTGCAGCACTGCAAGAATTACGCTGGGAGGGACAGGGACAGATTGATAAACAAGACTTTACAATGTTATATTCAGGAGGAAAGAAGCAAGGGCAAAAAGGCGTGGGATTCATGATACTTAGTCACCTAAGAGAAAACATTATAAATTTCAAGCCAATATGCGAAAGGATGGCCTATGTTAGAGTCAACAGCAAACCATTTAATATATCAGTCTTGAATTTATACGCCCCCACAGAAACAAGCAATGCAGACGAAAAATAAATCTTTTATGATAAGGTCGAAGAGGAGATAGAAAAATTACCCAAAGAAGATGTCATATTTGTACTGGGAGACCTCAACGCCCAGATTGGAAAAGAGGACTTTTTACAGCAAATTGCAGAAAAGCATACAATACACGAAAACACGAATGACAATGGGCAAAGACTATGTAACCTAGCAACAAGAGCAAATTTGTTAATAAGCTCGACAAAATTTGAACACCCTAAAATACATAAGGTAACATGGAGGTCACCGGATCAGAAAACATATAGTCAAATTGATCACATAATGATTAATAAACGAAAACAATCGTCAATAAAAGATGTAAGAACGTTCAGAGGTTCGTGTGCAGATTCAGACCACTACATGGTCACAGCCATTATAAGACAAAAAGTTAAAATTGAAACAAAACAAAAAAACCAACATAACAAGAGGAATGTCAATAAATTGAGTAATGAAGAAGTAAGAAAAAAATATGAAGAGGCAGTAACAGTTCAAATAAAAGAGAAATATAAAGCAGAAGATATAAGCACAGAATGGGAGACGATCAAAAAATCAATAGAAGAAGGGGCAAATATGCAGATAGGTAAAAGTCAGGCTAAAACAAAAAACGAATGGTATAACCAAGAATGTAGAGAAACAACAGGAAAAAAGTGTAAGCCAGAAATAAATGGCTAAGAACAGATAAAGAGGAAGACAGAGAAGAATATGAAACTTTAAGAAGGAATGCTAAGAAAGTAATAAGGCAAAATAAAAGAAGATGGGTAGACAAAAAAATGCAGGAAATAGAGCAGGAAAGAACAAACAGAAATACGAAAAGTTTTTACAAAAAGATTAAAGAACAAAACAAAAAATACAAGGGCGAAACAAACGGAATAAAAAATAGAGAGGGAATAGTGATAATAGAGGACCAAGAATACAAGCAAGTATGGAGAGATTACTACAGAGAGCTCTTGACGGAGGAAA